TTTAAACTTGTAACAGAACAGATATTCAGTGCACATCAACCAGTTTGAAAATGGCTGAAGCTGATTTGAGATAAACCTGGTAGAATGCAGTATTAGACTTAACTGATTTGGGTGAATCTGATTTATGCAATGTCTGTCCCAGGCCCCTTGTTGGTTTAAGATAAATCAGACACCTCCAGCATCCCGGTATGCTCTCTGACCTGGGTGGGACTCTCTGCTTCATAGTAGGGCTGGTCCCTCCCCTCTGCTCCTTGGCTGCAGCTACAGCACAGAACTGCGGCTGCTCCCCCCCACCCCACTCCTGGCTAAGCAAGAATTCCTCCCCCCACCCTCCACCTTGCTGAGAGGTGTTTGTGTATTAGCTAGCAGACCACATGCTGGCTACAGTTGATGCTGAATCAACAGGTAGAATCAACCTGTAGCTGGTAATGTCCCTCTGTTGTTTTCTTAATGGGGTGATAAACACCGAGTTAGGGGTGATACACACTGTTATGAATTCCCTGCTGGGCGAATCAGAGCATCCTATCTGGCCACAAACCCCTCAACTTAATGATGTAAAAGAAAGGGAGGGCTGTTCTAGCGTCCCCTGGCTTGTAGCCTGAGCCACTGCAGGCATGTGCCTGTATTTCTAGGATGTCTGTCTGGTTACAAAACTGATTTAGCCTAGCCAGGTTAGACTAACTTGCAAAGATTGAATCAGGTCAGACTCAGGCTTTTTGAATGTCTATTTTTGAATGTCTTTTTGAAAAGCTGAGGGACTTGGGACTCTTCAGCCTGAAAAAGAGAAGGCTGGGAGGGGACTTAATAGTGGCTTACCATTACATCAGAGGCATACATCAAGGGCTCGGTGAACAGCTATTTATCAGGGCACCCTTGGGGAAAACCAGAAGCAATGGCCACAAACTCCTGGAAGACTGTTTCAGGATCAACATTGGGAAATACTTCTTCACAGTTAGCGTGTCCAGACTGTGGAATAGGCTCCCTCCGGAGGTGGTGCAATCGCCTACCCTGGAAATTTTCAGGAGGGGACTGGATGGTCACCTGAGTCTTTCCTGCCTGGTGCAGGGGGCTGGACCTGATGATCCCCTGAGGTCCTTTCCAGCCTTGAAATCTATCAATCTGCCCAAAACTGTCCTGATCTGGGCAGTCCCCAGCCAGCTCTGGGCTGCACATAGAGACTTCCCCATGCAGCCTGGGGCTCGCTGGGAACTGTCGCAGTCAGGGGCAGGTCTCAGTCCCACAGCTTTTTCCCAATTCCATGTCCTGATCAGGTGATTGAGGCACAGGGCTTGGAAAGAGCTGTGAGGGAGAGGCTTGAACCTGCCCCTCCCCCATAGGTCTTTCCAAGCCCCCTGCCAGTGACTGAGGATCCAGGGCCAGGGCAGGAGGGGCATTGTTCCTAGCTGGGCTCTACCACTGGAGCCTGCTTCAGCAGCAGGAAGATCCTGGGCACAGGGAGAAATCGCCCAGCCCCTACCAGGAGATAGTTCTTTCTTGGCCCTGTGCTCCCTACCAGCCCCTGTGCAGTGCAGAGCTGGATGGGACAGAAGCAGACTTCTGCCAGGAGCAGCAAATCTGCTCCCAAATGTGCACACATGTAGATGCCTGCCCGGGGTGAGTTTACTCCAGAGTAAATTCCTGAAGGAACATTTGCCCACTGTAAGCTGTTGCTGTTACAGGCAGTTGCAGCATTTGACATAAACTTTATTAAATCATATCATGTTTTGAAGTTGTACAATGAATGTTAAAAATAATCCCACCTATATTTACAGTAAAAGTATGGTGTGCAAAGTATTCTGTGCTATAAAAGAAGTATCATAAGAAGTCTCACTGTCAAATAAAATTGTCATCCCAGATGGATGCACACTGCAGAGAAATAGGCAACTCACATTCTGAAGAGGAGAAATATAAGGACATTATATAAGAACACATTTAGGATACTAAATATTCTGTTTTGTCCGGAAAGGTCTTAGACACAACCGCAGGAGGCTGAGATGCCTGTGATCCTGGAAAATGGCAGAACTAATGGAATTATCAAACTAATGCACCAATCAGGACTAATGGCCTTATCATGTCCTGACCACAGTAGAGATGATGTTTTAAGAAAGTCCATGCAACTGTGCAAAGCACTTCTGGGCAAGGCATTTCAAACTGAAAGTTTCTGGTTAGTTTACTTAATAGGTTGCTTAAGATCTTTTAAACTCTGTAGTCTGCTAATGTTGTTTGCTAGCTCATGTTGTTATGTTTAGCTGAGGAAGAAAAGTGTGTGGAACTGTACTGTTAAAGAGGCCCTTGTGTGGGCTATCTGGAAACAGGTGTGTGTTGTATGGAGGCTCATGTTACATGATGCTGACCAGACAGGATTCAGACACAGGCCTCTCTCAAATTCCCTTGCTATCTGAACAATGCCCAATTTGTTAGCTGCCTGTTTGGCGCACCACAACTTGGAGGCAAGCATTGAAGGTACTTCACTTGTGGAGCCTTGTTGGCCTAACTACTGAGACACAGCTAAAACAAAAATGCATTGTACTAGGGCTAAAAAGAAAGAGGAAATTTGCAAATAAAATGGTTACAGTATCTTAAATAGTTACAACTCAACTGTAGTTCTCATCTGGGCATCTGATTTGGTCGTAGCTTATTCCTCAGGCTGAGGACCTTGGGTGCCCACAAAAGCCACTCTTCTGTTAAAGGCAAATAAGATCCCATGCATTTCTGAGCCAGGATCATTTAGTGGTGTGCCTCACTGGGGCCTCTCAGCACTGACTCTGTCCAGTTTCTGCTGCTTCTGCCCAAGTTCTTCACAGACCTGAACCAACTCCAATGTTTGATTGTCAAACCCTGTTTCACAGAGGATTTCCTGGCTTTTGCTGCAGCCTGTTCTGTATGCAGTAGCCTGGCAGTGTTCCTTGCAACTAGCTTCTCTGCTGCTTTTTGTTTGTCATGCCACGGGCACTTTCCAAGTGCCAGGTGTAACCTCCTAGATCAAGTTCTTTCCCTCATTCCTCTTTCCCTCTAGGTCTGGAGGATGAGTTGTACCCATGTCACACCAGAGGATCTTTGACCAATGGGGAATAGACTGATGAGAACAGTAGATTCCTCCTTAGTAGAATGATCATTATCTACTGACTACACTGGCAATTTTATGTGCACAGGAATTTGAGTCAACTTCTTAAACATGTCAAAAATACACACGCGTAAAAGAGCAGCAAATAAACCAAGCTCCACCAGTCAAAAGGATCCACTGAATTCTGTCCAGTTCCCACTACTAAGTTTTGGTTAGCTCTCTCTGTAGTATATATTGTGATATTATGGATGTTTCCTCTGTACACTGTGTAAGGCTGAGCTAGGTTCTGAATTTTCTCAGGTAACATCACAAATCCATTAAGTATTGTATTATTTCTTAAGGGTGAATGATTTATTAACATGACCCTTCTGGGCAGATCAGCAGAAATCTGACTCTGAATGAACAACTGTCTGCAGTTCTATGCATAATGAAAAAAAGAACACTAAAAAAAGGCTGAAGATATCCTGAATAAGGAAGGAAAATGAATGTTTGATCCTAGTTTTCTATCAAGTAAGGATGGCAGCAGAGGTTAGATAAGTTATTTAGTAGCAGTAAGCCTAGCCAAAATCCAAAACCCAGACCCAGATTCAGGTCTGAGTTTGCAGTGTGAAACTTTGTTAATAATGGGCAAATCCAAATACAAAATCTGAACACTGTGAATTCTGAAGGATTTTAGATTTGCATCAGCTTTCTCAGCATGAGTGTTCAGAAATGGGATTTGATTTCTGCTAGTTGCAGGGAGAAAAGCTCATATTTGAATCAGGTGTTCAGCCCTGAGATTTTCAAGGGGGTCCATCCTTCAAAATTACCTGTGTCCTGCATTCTCTTAAAATATTTCTCTGTTATAACAGTGTAAGGTTTGCATATAGTTTATTTAAGTTTCTATTTCAGTAAAAATCATTTAGTAACCTGATGCTGCAGCTCTTGTTTGCCATTCAGATAATATTCAGCTACACAGATTCTCTTCTGCATCCAGTTCATATTTGGCACAGCAGGGAGAAGGGGTTGTCACTGAAGCCAGCTGCAGCTTCCTGACTATCTCAGCTACAGCCCCTGAACAATCTCAAGGCTTCCTAACTCACTGTGATTACCTAGGGCTCTATGACAGCTGGGGATTTTCAGAGTCCTTTATGCACTGGAATTCACCCCTGCTCTCTTATATCCATACCTGAAGTGCCCATTACACTGGGGAAGGAAAGACTTTGACTTTTAAGTACTTTATTCAGGGGTTCA